AGGGCCATCGTATCTAAGGAAGAAGAAGCGGTTTTTCCAGTCATGGATAGACGAAGGATAGCTCTTGAACAGCCGCCTTCCGGGGCGTGCGGCCACGCTCATATAACCATCAGAGTTCTGGGGAGTAATGCGGTATAAGTAGTGGAATAGGTCCAAAGTGGCAGTGGCTCCCGCTAGTTTGCAGCGCACCAGAAAGGCTGAGATAAACCTATAAGAATTTGGCATAAATTGCGCCGGGGCCACCTGGAAGCAGTGGAAGAACTCCACGTAGAAAGGGTGAAGTGGAAACCGCAGCCCGGCTTCAACGGAATCCAGGTGGAGCATGATCATCCCCGGACGTCTCCTCATCACATGCTCAGCGCCCTTCACGCTCCAGACGAACGGCGGGGGGAAGAAAGTGCGGATTTTGTTGAGAGCCACACGGGAAAGGACTTGATCGTGGTCGAGGGCGCTCCTGATCGGACAAATGTGGCGCTCCATGTCCGTGGGGATCCCCAGATCATGTACCTCCATGTCGGAGCCGGATTCGGCCTCTTCCCCAGAATCATAATCAGCGGGGCGCTCATTCAGGGGGACTGCATCGATAACATCTACTGCCCCGTTGACATCCCCATCTCCGGAGACGCTCCTGTTACCTTGGGAAGCGTCATCGGGCTCATCATCAGCCCGGATGGTCCCCACCATCGTAGCCGAACCGGAAGCCCCAGAAACACTAGCCTTCCCGGAGGAGCGCACACTGGAATCAGAAGAGGAGCCCGCGGAGGAACCCGATGAACCGGAATCAGAACTTGACGAGATCTCCATCGAGGTCATTTCGGCGAGAAGTCAAGACAGAGAAAAGAAGCAGAAGGGAAATTACCTTACAAGGGGACTAGCCGAACTCGGAAGCGGGGAAGAAGACTAAAAGAGCAGCTGAAATTCGAGAGCAAGAGAGCAGAAATCGAGAACCCTAATCCAGAGGGAAAACCCGGCATTTATAGGGGGAGCACCGATGGGGGAACCAACGGGGGGGTCGACACGTAGCAAGGAGCGTAGTCCGGCTCACGCGATGCGCGTGGGGTGGAAGCGTAATGATGACATTTCCTCGGAAAATGCACCGCCGCTACCGCAGCCGTCACATCGTTTCCTGAACCGTCAACAGCTGTCAAGCACCATGATCACGGGCATACGCTTCCACCGGATGCAATAAAACACAAGTATCAAAACACGAACGTCTACTTCACGGGACTCATACTTCCTTATGTCCTGTGCATGCTCAGAACATCAGAAGTGGGGGACTTGTGTTGGATTAATGGCCCGAGCCCGGGGTCCGGCCCATTCACCCCTTTCTTACCAGTCGTGCGTCCGGTTAGACCACTGGACTAGCCTAGCGAGCCCATATTTCCTCCAGGAGGGACGAACGTCTGCAATAGGGAGTTAGGCCCAGCGGCCCATCTCGACGGACGTCTATGCGGGGACAGGGAGCAGGCCCACGGGTCATCAGAATGACGACGAACGTCGTCAGAGCAAGCCCGTAGCCATCGGAGACGGTCTAGCCCGCATGGCGAGAATCCACAGAGGCCAGGGGACGAACGGCCAGTTCTCTGGGGGGCTACTTGGAGCAAGCCAGCTCGCTCCCCGGGCGGACGAACGTCCCCACTAATTAGGCGGGAAACCTAGATTCTGGCGGGAAGCGCATTTAATGCTGAAGATTTGGTTGTTGGGGCACCAGCGGTCCACAGGCTGCCACGTCAGTATAGCCACCTGCCCATTGGTGGGTATAAATAGAAGCATTTATTTCATTGTAAAGGGTTGGCAACTTTCTACTCTTAGCACTCTAGCTATAGCATTCTTACTCATAGCACTTCTACTGCCTGGTAAGACGAACGGCCGACGTGCCTTTTTAGCAAGTAGATTGTACTTAGGGGAGTTATTACGAAGTTAATAATACCTATTTACATTGCCTGCTATTTCTTCTGTTTCCTGATCTTTCTGATTGTTGTTGGGCCAAATATCCACACACTCCTACACCTCTTCCACTCGAGATCCTTAGGGCTTACGTGTTGGGCCCAAGGATTGAAGGAATTAACCTCAACACTACGTCATTGAAAATGGAAAACTTTAAAAAATAAGCTACAATGGTGTGCTACTCAAATGTCTGGGGCCAGAACTGGCTCAGCGAGTGATCAAGGAGTTACACGAGGGACCTGTTCATCCCATCAAGGTGCGTTTACCCTAAGTAGGAAAGCTCTTTTGCAAGGATATTTCTGGCCTACAATGATAAGGGATTGCGTGGACTTTGCACGAAGGTGTGAGGTCTGCCAGAAGTTTCAAACAAACCCCGGCAGACCTGCCACACTATATCATCCCATCAGCACTGCAATTCCCTTCTCCAGGTGGGGAATAGACCTTGTTGGGCCTTTCCCGCCAGGCTCAGGAGGACGGAAGTTCGTAATAATGGCGATTGATTACTTCACAAAGTGGATAATTAAGTAAGTTTTTTTACATAATGAATAAGTTGTGTTTTCAATTAAGTCGTAAGTAAACTGCTGTAAACATGACTTAATGACTGAACGATTAAGTCATCTTTCTCGTTAAGTCATAAATAAACAGCCCCTAAAAGTACCACCCATATCAACAAGGTACATCACATCTTCTTTTAAGAAGCTCGTCCACTAAGGCATTAAGAACTCCACAGTAAAGCATGCTTGTGTGGGAGTAGTTTTAGATTTGTATTGGTTTGGGCGCATGATTGAGGACACAATGTGCGGTAAAGGCTTGTTTTGATGTGTGAGGACTATATTAAAAAATCCAAGAGTAATGACTTTGAACTCGGCGGAGTCAATGTGTTACATATTAAAAAATTATGCATTACAAATATAAATGTATTGTATTGCATTTTTACAAATAAATTTTTTTAGTAAATTTTCACACTTCTACTACATGCTTGTTAAACATTTAAGGCTTGTAAGGCCGATGTGCAAATTGGGGGGGGGGGGGGGGATTAGGGCATTGTATTCAAACTTTGAAAAATATTACATGTCAACCTTTACTCTCTAGCCAAAGATGAATATTTAGGATTATGTGAAAAGAAGATGAACATTTAGAGTTATGTGAAAAAAAAACTTTTAATAGGATATGTTTCCCATTTTAACGAGATCTTTTTAGTCTGTTTTTCCAATCTTGGGTACATTTATAATCACCTTCCTTTATAATTTCGCCATTCATATGATAGTTTAGTTAGTTTTTGGCTTCAATTAATGGAAATTGATCCAAATAGGACTAAAACATAGCTAAAATTCCAAAATAGGACTTGAAGTTTTAAATTTCCTAAATAGGACTCCAGATTACACTTTTGCCCTTTATCCCAAAATCACATTCCCCGATCCTCTGCCATGGATCGCTACACATTTGTGATTACAACCATCCTTCCCTTCCGACTCAGTTGCCATGGACGCAACTTGAGGGACATCGACCGATCCCGACCACGAACATCTCAGCCGTTTGCTCCATGCCGGCTGCCGCCACTTCAACGGTTCTTCCGGCAAAATCAGGTCTTCCTCTCCCTCTTCCTCTTCATCTTTTCTTCTTCTTCTTCTTCTTCTTCTTCTTCTTCTTCTTCCACCTCCTGCACTCTGTTTTCTGTGTTTTTCTATTCATTCACTACCTTTTCATCAAATTCTAAGTAATTTTTTGGATTCGAAACTTTCAGATTTGATGAAAACCAATTTTTCTTTAAAAAACAACCAACTGATAGGAAATTGTCGTGTTTTAAATTTTACTTATTTATCAATTTTGATCAATTTAAAATATAAGAATGTCATAACTACTTTTTTCAGATAATGTTAGTTTTAGTTAACATAATGTCAGTTTTATGTCACTAACTTTATAAAGATGGCATTTGCTAACTAAATTCTCATTTTTCTATTATTTTTGATTTTTTTTATTTCAATTTCCATTTTTTATTTTAATACTATCATAATTCTTACAATACCACAAATTTTTGAAAATGTCATGATTGTTACAAGACATTTTTCTATAAAAATGACATTTTTCTATAAAAATACATTTTTCTATAAAAAATGACAATTTTCTATTAAAACATGACATTCTCAAGTGTTAAAATATAAAATTTTAGATAAGAAATTATGTAATTTTTTAGATGAAATATAATGGCAATTTGAGGATGAAAATTCTGACATTTTTAGGAAAATATGTCATTTCTAATAACAAGTAGTTATGTCATTCTCATATAAGCCATAAAAATGCCATAAGAATGACATTTTCTTATGGGCATATGACATTTTCAGATTGTCATCCTAATAAAAGATATTGTCACAAATGTGGCAGTTTTTTAAATAACCAATAATTTTGAAATTCTTAGATTCTCAGGTTGGAAAAGTGACATTTCTCAAAGCAACATTAAAACCAGCCATTTTAAGATTCAATTGATAAATAAAATAAGTTGAATGTTTTAATACAAATTAATCATAATCAATCTAAAATTGAAAATCAAAAGAAGAGAATAAGAACAGAGGAGCTGAGCATGTCTTGATGGAAAGCGACCAAGAAGAAAACAGAAGAACAAAAATAAGAGAAGAAGAAGAATAGGAATAAGAAAGAGGAGGAGGAGAAGGAAAAGGAAAAGATTGTTATCTGACTTCATCGGAGAATTGCAGATGACTTCATCGAAGTGGGCAGAAGGATGAGTGCAGTGGCTTGATCGATGAATCAGCAGTGCGAACATACTAGTTGAGATCATTAAGGGTAGTTTTGTCAGATTAACCCTTTTTAGTCCTATTTTTGTTCAATATAACATAGTAGTCATATCTTTGCAATTCTACTTTCTTTTAGTCTTATTTTGGAAATTCTCTCATCTCTTTAATTAATCGACCAAGCAAAATATTGTGAATGAAATACTAGTACATATAAACAAAGTTTGATAGGTAAAATGTTGTTAGTCCAATTTTTTGTTTTCATTATATGTTATCAATTACCACAATCTTGACAATGCCCGAAAACTAGTAACTTGCTTGCCTAGTTTGTTCCATATGTAATGTACTACAACTACATCAACAATTTCATGTGGAATCCATACACATTCATCAATTTCATTACAACACTTTTATAATTAGTATCTGTCATACTAATCATGGTTTGGGACGTTACTATTATTCATAATATTGTATTACCCACTTTATTCCTTTTGTTTGTGGGGTACGTTATGCGGAGAAAGTCTGACGCATCGCCATTTAACAAGATGTACAAAAAGACTCCACCTGAGGCTGACGGAGCACAGCCCATATTTGGCCACCTCAATCTACTCGGCAGCGGAGATATTCCTTTATGCCGGAAACTTGGTGCGTTGGCTGATAAACACGGCTCCATCTTCACCCTCCGACTAGGGATATACCAAAGAATCGTGGTGGTTAATAGCTGGGAAGGTGTCAAGGATTGTTTCACCACCAATGACAAAGTCACGGCTGCTCGGCCCGACTTCACGGTCGGGAAATACCTCGGCTACAATAACGCTGTCTTCAGCCTCCACACCTATAGCCCGTATTGGCGCAAAATGCGTAAGTTTGCTGTCACAGAGCTACTTTCATCGCAAAAGCTCGAGAAACTAAAGCATCTACGCGTGTCTGAGGTGCATACCAGCCTCAGAGAGTTGTACATGCTAGTAACTAGCTCTCCGACGGGAAAAACCAAAACAGTAGACATGAATGATTGGCTTCGACAACTAACATTAAACTTGATCTTAACGGTTGTCGCCGGGAAGCGGTTCAAGTTTAAGATCAGTGAAGATGATGAATGCACGGAGTTTAAAAAGGCACTTCATATCATTGAGGTGTTCAAGGAATTTATGTACCTCATAGGTCAGTCTGTGTACGGAGACGCTTTCCCATTCTGGATCGTAAGGTTTGTGGAGTTGAAGCGCCCCGTGGTTAAACGCATGGGGAGGATCATGAAAGAGTTGGATTCCATTCTTCAAAGCTGGTTAAATGAACACGTCAAACATAGACGACAACGATCAACGACAGTTGAATTCGGGAATAGCAATAATCAAGATTTCATTGATGTCATGCTTTCTTTGATTGATGACGACTTCTCTCGGGGGCTCATTTATCCTCACGAAACCATTATAAAGGCAACTGCATTGGTATGTGTATAGTCTCGTTACTATAGTCTTGTGACTTATCATTACGAAAAGTAAATTCATATTTGGAACTATATGAAAAATCAAAGTTGCTATTACCTCTTTTTAAATAAATGGAACATGTTGAATTTTACATTATTAACATGATTTACATTGACTACACTTAATTTATTAATATATTTTTTAAAAAAATATTGTTAAATTTGTCTCGTTGTATATATATATATATAGGAAATCTTTCCGGTAAGGTATACCTTACCGGAGCCGCCGTGCGGCCTCCACGTTTTGAGGGTCTTCCCGATGAAGTTTTTCGATGAAATATTTTGAGCATGTTCTTCATCAAGTCTAGTACATCTATACCAAATTTTATCAAAAAATACAATCGGGAAGGTAGCCAAACGATTTTTGGAAGATAACTGCGTTTTATATGTATATAAAGGGTGCAGTTATCTTCCAAAAATCATTTGACTGCCTTCCCGATTGAATTTTTTGCTGAAATTTGGTATGGATGTACTAGACTTGATGAAGAACAAGCTCAAAAAATTTCATCGAAAAATTCCATCGGGAAGGCCCTCAAAACGTGGAGGCCGCACGGAGGCTCCGGTAAGGTATACCTTACCGGAAGAGTTCCCATATATATATATATATATATATATATATATATATATATATATATATATATATATATATATATATGGTGCAGTTCCAATGAGAACGATGCTTAACGTGAGAACGTGAGAACACTCACATTTAAATCAATGTGGTGCACAATGGAACTATTTTGTTGCACATTGTGAAAAAGTGAAAAAGTGTAATATACAAGCTTCATTGTGCAACACGTTGGGGTAAATGTGGTGTTCTCACGTTAAGCATTGTTCTCATTTCATCTTTATTCTATATATATAGGTTCAAATAAGAACATACTCTTAGGAGAGAAATGAGAACGACTCTAGACCATTAGATTTGCTTTAAATGAAATTCAATGTGCATTAGATCAAACTGTAATGTGCATTAGGTGAAATATAAATGTGCAGTACAAATGGTATGATACAATGACACTATGTGAAGCTGAATTGTGCATTAGGTGAAATTGAAATGTGCACCAAGTAAAACTGAAATATGCAGAATAAAAAGTACGATGTGGAGTTACTTTGTACCTTTTATTCCACACATTTCAATTTCACATAATGCACACTTGAGTTTAAATTTTTATTCTGCACATTTGAATATCATCGAATGCACATTGCTGTTTCATCAAATGCACATTTCAATTTTACATAATACAATCCAACGGTCCAGATTCGTTCTTATTTCTCTCCTGGCAGTCCGTTCTTATCGGAATCGCTCCCTATTAATTGTCAATGTTGTGCATCGACAAACGTGAATATAGGATTGTTGCACTTATTTAAGAACTAAGGTAGTATTAAGTTATTAATATAAACTTCTTTCCCCGTGCATGTTCATGTATAGAGTATGATCATCGACGGGTCTGATACAACAGCGGTGCACTTGACCTGGTTGATGTCATTAGTAGTGAATCACGCTAACGTAATGGAGCGCTTACGAGATGAAATAGATTCAAAAGTCGGGAAAGATAGATGGGTGGAAGATGCCGATATTAAAGATTTCCATTATCTCCATGCGGTAGTGAAAGAGACATTGCGGCTATACCCACCGTTGCCGACTTACACTCCTCATGTTGCGGTAGAGGATTGCAAGGTTGGCGGTTATGACATTCCCAAAGGCACACATTTGTATGTGAATGCCTGGAAAGTGCACCGTGATCCACGAATCTGGTCGGAACCCGATAAGTTCCGACCAGAGAGATTCTTGGTCGATGCGGCGGGGCCGGAAACGCCTCCTCCATGGAAAAATTTTGAGTACATTCCATTTGGCAGTGGGAGACGGTCTTGTATTGGCAATACCTATGCAATGCAAGTTACGTATCTTATTATTGCCCGTTTTATCCAAGGATTCAATTTGGAGACACCTTCAAATGAACGGTTGGATATGAGCGAAGGTTTGGGGATTACTTTGCCACGGGCTACCCCATTAGATGTGGTCATCACCCCTCGCCTACCCCCAAGCTTTTATTTTGACTCTACTTAATCACTTAATTTCCTTTTGTAAATAAATATAAACAACTCCTCACAGCCACATTTAATTATGCAACGTTATTCTTGTTTCCCAAATGAAATAAGCTTGAAATCTAGTTGGTTTAAGATGTATGTATGTTTTTGAAAAATAACGGCGAGTAAAAATTTGGTCCCTTAAATTTGGGGAAAGCTAGCTATTTGGGCTAAAATTAGGTATAGTCTTTCAGCCCAAAGAGGCTTAGACTATTCAGAGGGTTACATGTATGTGTACCTAAAACTGTATGTGTACCTAAAATACTGGGGAACAAACAGAGTGATGTCATGCCAATGTGTGATGATGTCAATCTGGGTAACAGACTGATAATGTCACAGGTAATTCAAGCCCTTCTAGAAATTGGGATCGTGACGCCGACGGGAGGTTGAGTGACGCAAGCCTCGGATGCAGGAATTTTTGGAAACGGCTAAGTGTCAAACTCTCACCGCACCGAGGTGAATCAAGTCGCCTCGGCCTCTTCCAATCTCGTAAGCAAAATGTCCATAGTAGCTGTCACCGGGCTAGGGCTCGGGCTCGAGCTCACTGGAGCGCCTCCTCCTGGTGTGTATTAAAACCCTGCCAAGCCGTAGTTATTGGTGATGTGGCCTCGGTCTCATCAACCAATACTCGGACTACTGTCGTGGACCTTCAAAACTGATGCCCCTTGGGCTTATACTCCATCAATAAATATGACCAAAGAAAAAAGACAATGGGAATATTTATGGTTAGATTTTACAATGTTCTTGATAAATGTTTGGGTAATCTAAGCGCTACAAAATTTAATAAATGCGAAATTTCATCGTTAAACCATCATAGTTATAATACAAAATGAGGAACATAAACACAGATAAGAGGGGAAATTGACCTAAATACGATTAAACAGGTTTTGAAATTCCAAAATAGGATTGTTATGTTTTTCATCCCGAAATATGAATCGTTACTGCCATGATTTAAAAAATGTCATCAATGGTAGTAAATAGTGTCATGTTAATGTCTGGTACTGCAACTTTTTTTTGTTGTAATAACTCCAAAGTGACAGTAAATATTGTCATGTTACTCATGTTTGGAAAATAAAAACATGAGTTCTATTTTGGAATTTCCAAAACCTCTTTACTCCTATTTCGAATTTTTTTCCTAAATAAGAGTAATTGATCATATCAAGCTACTATTGTTACTAAATAAGAATTAAAAATGGATTTAATAACATCAGGCAGCATTATAAGAACTAGTGATATAAATTGAGTATTGTACATGAATTGCATGAATGGACATCATGCAGTTCTCAAATTCTCATCAGTACTGTATGAAAATTAGTGAACCATAAGATATAGAGCCCGATTTGGTAGCACAAAAATCGGCTGATTTGGCTGATTCTGCTGAAATTTAGGAAGTTCTGGCTGAAGTGGCTGCATTGGCTGATTCTGCTGATTTAAGAAAAAAGGGAGAAATGGCTATATAGCTTAAACAAATAAGTTACTTTTAATTAGTTAATAACCTCTATTATTTTTATTAAAGAATATAGCACTTTATCAACAAATATAAAAACACGGTAGAGTTAAATACAAGGCTCAATTGTTTTTGATAATTAAAAATGCATTTGGATAACATCAAATTGCATGAATTTCGGTGTTTACATCTTACATGTATATACTCATAAACTTCTAGGATAATTTAAAAGGCTATGCACTTTATTTTTGTAAATGTATAACATAAACTTAAATGTACTTATTAAAAAATGTATACACACCCAATTATGAATTATCTCGAAAATATATTCAAAAACAATAATTAATTAATTATGGTCCAACTGGTCCGGATCTAAATATTCGAGGTTTGGGCCGAATCGGACCAGAATAGGAAACTTCAAAATGCTTGGATTGAAGACCAAAACGGTATTTAACTTGTTCGGGTCTGGTCTAGACCTACCTCTCCAATTTTTCAGCCTGTAGCGGAATATGCTCACCCGCACTTCAAAAAGAGAACAAGAACAAAAACGAGACGGTCTCGTACTCTACTCGCCGAAGAAGACGGCCGATCGCTAGACGTCCGCAAAAGCTCAAACCCTAATCAATAGGAAGATGGCCACATATTTTACCAAGATACTATTATTGACCATTAAACTAGTATTTGTAAAATAAAATAAGATAAATGTAACTGAAATGATCAAGTGAACACATTGAATTGCATTTTATGAAACTACACTACGTTGGAAATATTTTAGTAAACTAAACAAAAATTATACAAAGTGTGTGCGTGCATGTGTGTGAAGAAAAAATGCCTTTTGTCATTTAAGTTAGACAAACAACAAGTAACATTTGAACTAGGATCTTTTTAATAGTGATTTTCTAATAAAAACCGTAGAAAACAATGAAGTACCAAATAAAAAAATGAAGTACCAAATAAGTTCACCAACAAATGTGTCATTTTGTAGAAAATTATAAACTTCTTTTCAGTGAGTTGATGCTTAATCAAAAGCCATTATGTTGTTTTAAGTAAAAATACACAATATAAGAACTCACCCGCCCAGTGACTTTGGCGCTCTCGTGGCCGACATGTCACCAATGATTCTAGTACCCCAATGATGTAACTCGGGGTGTACAATTTTGTCTACGGTTCAGCGGTTCAGTTTTTCTTGATTTCAGTTTGATTTAGGTTTATTCAGTTTCTGAAATGTCATGCCAAAGTAAAACCATGTCTTTCTGAAATTTATTAACTGCAAGTATTACTCTCTGAAAAAATGTATTACACTATATGAGGCCGTTTGGAATCACTGTTTTTCGGCTTATCAGGCTTATCAGACAATTTTTTCACCAAACACGTAATTTTTGCTTTTGCACGCTGAAATGTGTATTAAGCAGAAAAAGTAAGGTTGAAGTTACTTTTCTGACTGTGTTGGGTGAAGCTACTGTAGATGACCATTTTAGCTATTTTACATATAATTTTTTCTTTAGTTATCCAAATGCATTTTTAATTATCAAAAACAATTGAGCCTTGTATTTAACTCTACCATGTTTTTATATTTGTTGATAAAGTGCTATATTCTTTAATAAAAATAATAGAGGTTATTAACTAAAAGTAACCTATTTGTTTAAGCTATATAGCCATTTCTCCCTATATTTTCTATCTAAAATGTATTACGGAGTAGTGTGTAACAAATATTTAGAACTAAGTTGGATTTAGTTGTATTTGACTTTTTTTTAAAGAAAATTTTACGTTTAAATAATTTATAGCCATCAAAGTTAACTTTTTTCTAAAAAACTATCTTTTTTAACTAAAAATCCAAATCCGGTCCAATACCGGCCTGGTCCGTCAAACCCATAATAATCCGGTCTGATCCGATCCTGGGCCGAAATTATACAGGTCCAGCCTTCGGTCCATTAATTTTGGAAATTCCAATTCCAGTCCGGTCTTGGAAGGTATAATTCACTACGTACCAATCATTTATGACTATCCAATATAATTTAACTTTTTAAAAAACGGAGTAAAAATGATTTTTTTGTCCAAAACTAACGTTCAAGTAATATGAAGATGTTTTAAACCATATAAGACATGATCAGACTCAAATAGATCAGATCAGACCAAACTTTGACGATTGTAAATACACATTAAACATACCGCCTACCAAGTCAGACCAAACCAAACTTAAACAGACATCAAATCAGATCAGATCAGATCAAACCAAATCGGACCACTTTTTGAATGTAAAGACCAGATCGATCAGTGGAAAAGCCCATTATTATAATCAAAGTAGGAAAAAGACACAAGTCACCGATAGTTCTTTGGTAAAATTGAAAAGACTTGGTAGAGATTTATAATCTACTAGTAATATACCCGTGCAATGCATGATACAATAATATATTTATATTATAACTATTTTAAATGAAAGCTAAATACAGATTTTTTTTTATTTGGAAGAAGGAGGCTTAAATTGATATGACAGTGAGTAAACAGACAAAAGGACCACAACCAACTACTAGCCCTCGAATCAGACTTAGAGTCGATCACGTTCAAAGAAGCAATATGACTCGATGATCCTGTAATGGGCATAAATAAGCCAAAGACGGTCAAAACATATCTCCCATCACCCAATCCTAATGCACGAGTCTTACAATACTAGAAATAAACAACGAAAATGTAAACAATTTGATCAAGAAAAATAACAGTAATAAAGACAGTAAAATTAAAACTTTGTTTCGTCCTCAAGACCACGAGCGCCTTCCACGCTCCAGACCAACAAGTCTGCTTCAGGAATCTCGGCGGTTCAGAGGTGTGGGACCCGCTGCCTCCCCAATTTTTGGCTTGTCAAGAGCCATGCTATCACCATTTGGATCCTCCCGTTCCCCCTCCTGCCAGAGCCTCTTGCGTTTCTGGTCACCTGGCACATCCTCGGTAATCACTGAGTCTCCTTCCTTTGTCGTACCTTTTCCTTGGTCCGACGTAGTCACAATCCAGGTCCGTCCTCCTGCGCCCTTGCACTCCGCCCTAAAGATCTTCTGCTACTGCCCCACACCTATGTTTGAGGTGCCTTCAACTAGCCAATTGTTTCCCCACTGTAGGTCCAGTCTCTCCCCTCCCCCAGCTCTAAGCTTCACCCCATAAGATTTTTCCAACACCATATTATCACTCCATATGTCAAAGGACAAACCTTATCGGCATGGCCAATGACTCCACATACAAAACAAAAGCCAGAGAGCTAAATACAGAATATTTAGAAAAAGAAATAGAAGAGTGAGAAAATGCACTAATTTAACAAAAAAACAAAATACTACCTCCGCCATATTGAGATGTGAGCCGCATGTGGAGTGAACCCTAGAAGAGAAGGCGGCGGCACTACAGTCGCTCCCTTTGTGCCCTATTTCGACACAGTTGAAAGAGAATGGACAACACATCCAAGCAGGTAACAAATTTCATGTCTTGTTCTAGGTGACATCACCTCTCGGAGATTCTTGATAGGGTATGACCCAACTGGATTGGTCTTTTTTCTGGTTGTGTTTATTCTGTGCTATGACTGTTCTTTCCCGGATAGTGGCGCTCTAAGTTATTTTGTATCCCTCAGTGTGGGGAGTTGTTTTG